GTGGATGGGTGAAGGAGGTGGTGGAGGAAGAAGGTGGAAGGTGGTTCGCTATGGCGCRTGGTTGAAGGAGGTGGTGGAGGAAGAAGGTGCAAGGCGGTTGGCTATGGTGGATGGGTGAAGGAGGTGGTGAAGGAAGAAGGTGGAAGGTGGTTGGCTATGGTGGATGGGTGAAGGAGGTGGTGGAGGAAGAAGGTGGAGGGTGGTTGGCTATGGTGGATGGGTGAAGGAAGTGGTGGAGGAAGAGGGTGGAAGGTGGTTGGCTATGGTGGATGGGTGAAGGAGGTGATGGAGGAAGGAGGTGGAAGGAGGTTGGCTATGGTGGATGGGTGAAGGAGGTGGTGGAGGAAGAACGTGGAAGGTGGTTCTCGGCGTTATCCCCAAATCTAAGTGTCCGGGTTTGTCTCCCGACACATTGCCTAACCCCGAACCCAACTCCGGACCCGAAGCACAGTCCTACAACACTGATCCTACAGCCAATATGCAGAAAACACAGTTTTGCAGCAGATACAGTCTGCAGAAAAATTCGCAGAATTTGGAGTTTGCGGATTTCGGCATTTTTGCCGTTTTGCTGTTTTTTTTGCTAAGTACGGTGAGCCGAAAAACACAGGTCTGTGTTTCCTGCCCCAAACGAACTCAGTATCCCTTCAAACTTTGTGGGCCCTCTCAATGTACCACAGGGAAGGCCTCTGCAAAGTTTAGCCTGATTCTGATGCCGTTTGGGTCGACTTGCCTGTTTCAGGCGCCGTCCGGCCGCAAGGCGAACAGTTCGCGGAAGTCTGTTTTCTGATTTTTCTGAAAAACGGACTCCGATGGCTTGCTGGCTCTGCAGGCCATCTATTTATGCCTAGGATACGAGGTCTGATAAGTCTCAGGCCTCACATCCCCAGTTCTGACAGAGTTGTCACCGACGTGCCCCTGGGTCACATTGGCCCATTTGCCATTCTCGGACGGTCTTGCACCGGTAGGTGGTCACTTACTCTTTTCATGCAGTAGCAGCAGTCCGGGCTGGCCAGACCTTAACAGCAATCATCGTTCTGCAGCAATTCAGCAGAAGGGACAACAATAATGGTTCAAACAGTTGAAAAAAACATCCTACCTACTTTGTGGTTACCACGTTCGAATAGAGCACGGGGGGGGGGAGGGTGAAAGCACGTGGCACTCCTGATTAGAGCACAGGGGGAAGTAGCAATTCGCATGAGAGTGCAGAAAAAAACAATTCAAGTACTAATCACTAACCAAATACTATTAAATGCAAGAAACAAAGTTCTGATTTGCACCTAAGTAGAGAAGTGAAGGGAAAGTGAGAGTTGAGTGAGTAGAACTCACTCAAATGCATGGGGACCCAAGGAGGGGAAGTGGCGATTCACATGGGAGTGAAGAAACTGACAATCCAAGCACTAATCATCATCAAAACACTAGGATGAGCAAGAGTCAAAGTTGCGATTTGCATACAAGTAGAGAAATGGAGAGAGAGTCACAGTAGAGTGAGTAGAACTCAACCAAATGCATGAAATCACAAGGGGGGAAAGTGGCGATTCACATGGGAGTGAAGAAATTGACAATCCAAGCACTAATCATCATCAAAACACTAAGATGAGCAAAAACCAAAGTTGCGATTTGCATCCAAGTAGAGAAATGGGGAGAAAGTGAGAATAGAGTGAGTAGAACTCACCCAAATGCATGAAATCACAAAGGGGGGAAGTGGCGATTCACATGGGAGTGAAGAATAGGACTAATCAAGCACTAATCATCACCAAAACACTAGGATGAGACTAAAAGTTGAATTTCCCAATAGAATGTTCCTCAAAGCCCTTGTTGAATTTTCCACGTCCAAAGGCGGATGTTGGGATACATGGGTCAACATTTTTAGGATCGGGCTCGAAAAAAATGGGCACTGCTTTTCGTACCGGTAACAAACTGAAAAAATAACCCCTGCTCTGATTTTCATCCTACTACTGCTGCTGCCCCAAATCCAGCTTTTCAAAACCCCACCTTCCCAACTGACCAGCCGCTCCACTTGCGTCACCCCTTCCACTATCTTTTCGGAGACAAAGTCTGCTGCCACCATATCGTAATACCTTCTCCTCTACCTTGTCCTCTTCCTTGCCTGTCGATCCCTCTTCCCTCTTCCTCCCACCACCTCCCACGACTCCGCATCTTCCTAAGGGCCAACGCGACACGTTTTTTCCCGCTGACTCACTTCCCTTCCTACAACAGGCTACCTCTCTTTCGTTTGTCCCCTCCCGCTCAGTCACGCGCATATCCTTTCCCGACACCTTTTCCCTCTCCTCTCACCGCTTACGCCCGCATCTTCCGTATCCACCATATCCCTCAGACTATCCCTCTTCCTTCCTTCCCACCCACCGCTCTACATCTCTTCGTCTGCCCCCTTCCGCTCAGTCACGCGCACACTCTCCCGACTCCTTGTCCCTCTCCTCATACTGCCTACACCTCCCGTATCCCTCAGACTATCCCACTCCTCCTCCTTCCCGCCCATCGCTAATGCTACGACAAAAAACGTGACGACCCACCCGAAAGTTACTCGGCAATACAACTCAGCTAGCCCTGATCTGTTCGACACCTGAGAACTTGGTCTGGTACACTCAGCATGCTAGAAGCAGTCTATCAGCGCTGGCACTACGGTGGTGGAAGAGACTTTGAGATCTGGGTTTTTGAGTATTTAAACTAGGCAAACTCTCATTTCCCCTAAGCGCATTTTCAAGTCCCCTGATGATGGCTGCTTGCGGAAGCAGCCGAAACGCGGCGTAGGGACGTCCGCGACGGAAATTGGTTGTCCCATCATTTCAATCGAATTTCCGTTCTTGCGCTAAGGGGTTTCTCGTGTGTGCTTTCTCCTCCTCTCTTACCATCCCTTTCTCCTCTTCTTCTTCTTCTTCTTCTTCTTCTTCTTCTTCTTCGTCTTCTTCTTCTTCCCTTCTCTCTTCTTTCTTACCTCCTACTCTTGTTGATGTATTTGGTCACAATCTGTTGGTGCCTTTTACTGCCTGCCTACACGATTGGTTTGAGGATGCATCCTCAACCACTCTATCATCGAATATCGATTTAACCACTGCGCCGTTTCGTAGATTGGTGGAACCGACTACTATCATCGCAAGGCGAGCGTATTGCAGAACTGCACGTAGTGACCATTCCGTAATTCTTCTGTTCTCTCTCTCTCTCTCTCTCTCTCTCTCTCTCTCTCTCTCTCTCTCTCTCTCTCTCTCTCTCTCTCTCTCTCT